GACGTTAAATCGTTAGCGAAAAATGCACTACTCCACGTTTTTCAGTCTTGTACTATGGCGTCGCACTATTCCATCAGTACGTTTAGTTATATTTATTTCCTGTCATCTTCGGTCTAACGATTCTAGCCGGTCCTTTGGTGTCTTGCCTAACTACAGCCTTGTACTGCCACGTCCCGACTACAGATCATTGGCACATCCGTCGTTTTACTTCGGCTTGTTATGTATCACGATAGTGCTTTCGGTTGTTTGAACTTCTTTTGAAAAAATAATCAAAAAAGCTTATTGTTTTCCTTAGTAAAATAGGTTCTCTTAGAATAGTTACTAATTTTTAAATTCTCAGTTCGTAAATGACTAAACATTTGTAGAGCTTTGAACTGCCAAGCGGTGTCCATTTAGGCAAATTATTTAGAAATGTTGCCTAACACTTTCCGCTTTATTCAGAAACGGTATGACCAAGAAGTAGCGCATATTGCGTTTCTGTGGTACGTAATTCTCTTTAACTAAGTAGTCGTGAGATAATCTGACAAGCAGTCAGGTTTTGCGGTGACAACACAGCAACAAATGAAATTGAGAGTGTATCGGCGTAACGAACGACTGACCAAGCAAACGATCAGCAGAGTAGAGTTCTGTTTTCTTCGCGAATAACATTATGCGAGATCCATCTGTGCACTTTATGTGTTCAAATGGTAAGGAGCTGTCGCTCGCTTAAATGAGTTCGTGAACGTCTAAGACTAACCGAGCGGCGGCATAATGCCATCAGATCCAGTTTGACGTACTGTGCTTATTAATTAAAAAATGTCAAAGCGCGTTTTTTTTTAGTGAAATCACATACTCATCCGCTTTCTTCCGGTAACTTGCAGCCTTTTTCTTACCTGCATGAGCATGCTTAACTGCGAGCGGAACGATTGATTTTGTTAGCACTTAGGAAGACCGTTAGAAAGAAGAAAAAGAAGTGAATCGGAGTTAGTGTTGTTTTGACTACGACACTGGGATACCATGCTGTCCCCGTTATTCGCTAGTCACCGACTTACTACTCGTTTCTTCGTTTCTTGTTGCACCGAAGCGTCGTGGGGTTAGTTTCATGCTCAAGCGAATTCGCGGTTGTAAAGAAAATTGTTAC